CCAGGGCCATAGTGCGGCTGGAAGGGTTAGGTCAATTGAAAAAAATCCAATGACTTCATCGGGACTTGAACCCGGGACCTCCGGCTTGTAGCATAGTGCCTCAACCAACAACGCTACCGCGTGCCCCGAGATATATGAAATACGTGTAAAATTTCTGTGGGAAAACTAGAATGAAAGAGACCACTTGGGTGAACCCGAGTATAGGGAGAAGACAATATTAGAGACAATTTTAAACAAATGGGTGTAATTAAAATTGTGCCGGTTTCAGCGAACGGCGTAACACTCACCACCAGNATATATATATATATATATCGTAAGTCTTCCTTGAGATGATGAACAAATTACAAACCTTTCTGGGATCCAACGTACATTAACTATATTCACCAAATCTCTACACAGGATACTCTCATATACAAATCAATATTTTCACAGCGTATTTTTGTAAATTCCATTTTGATATCCCCCGTTACTACCACGACGTCTCCCGATCAGTCTCTTCCTCCGACCTTTTTTTTTCCAATTGTAATTTTGTCGGATTAATTAGTCCAGTAAGGGAGGAGGAAGATGGTGTTGCGAGAATTATAAAATCAAATCTCGCACTTGCTTACGATAATTCACAATGGGACAAAACCAGTATCGAACTGCGAGTGGACAAGATATGAAGAATCTGTTCACGCAGAACCACCTATCGGGATTAAGCAGTTTTTGGACCTTATTCAACGACCAGTATCCTAAAAAAAAAAAAACAGCGTTTCCGAACCTGGATCTGTTTCCGTTCTCAGGTGAAAAAGTATTTTTTTAATGCTAGTGGGGTGGGACTAAGTCCCTTGTAAAGCACAATAGACCACTGTAGGTCGCGGTGCAAGGGCCGAGGAGGCCTATCTCTCATACATTCATGTCCTTGTACCGCAGTCATTTCTGGCCTACAGCAGCCAGATGATAGGTGAGGGTGATTGTGAAGTAATTGGTGGAATGAAGATTGGCAGGACAAACCGAAGTACTCGGAGAAAACCTGCCCCAGCGCCACTTTGTGCACCACAAATCCCACATGACCAGACCCGGTATCGAACCCCGGCCGCCGTGGTGGGAAGCCAGCGACTAACCGCTTGAGCTATGGCGCGGCCCAGGTGAAAGGGTAAGTAGCACCTAATCTGTTGGGTTCGTCAGAAACAGTTAACCTCAATCACTAGACCAAAATATCAGTTTCTGAAACGTTGTGTTATTTAGAGTAACAAAAAAAACCCGTGGCCTGTAGTCCGCAAGCGAACTATACCGATCGATCGATCGCCGCTTCTCTGCTAAGTCAGTGCCAGCTTTTGCGGATAGAGGGTGTCGTTGATGGACTAAATAAAAAAACTCTGTAGTTGCGAATGTCGCACACCATCACCAGTTGCTATTCTAGACAATCTTGAAAAAGAAAATCGTCTCCACTCTGCACGTACTTTCTGTAACTTGAAATCACGACAAACACACTTTTCTCCTTCCATTTCGTACTTATCGTTTTCGATCGGCGTTCATTATAACTACTGCATACACAACCCTAGGGGCCCTACCTTTAAACACAAGTCCACATTCGGCAGGGTGGCGGTTCTCTCTTCAGCCCACAAGACTGGGGAGAGTCAGAATTGGCCTTTAAGGCGTAATTATGGACGAGATTTATGTTACAGAATTACAGTAGGCTCTTAATACAGCGTAGACAACATGAAAGTTCGATTGGAGGGCCATCCGCAATCTAGGCGAGCTTTTGGGTGCCTGGTAGGAAAACAGTCCAGCAGGTCCTTCAGATAAGAGCACTGTAGTTTGAAAGCTCGCAAGGTCATTTAGCATGTACTGAAATATTAATTGGTTAAGAGACCATGGGAAACCCAACAGTTCCAACTGCGTTATCGTTCCCAGAATTTCATGAAGAGACGGAACTATTACATGAACACTCACAGTTTCCTGTCACAGACATTTCAACTGGTACGACATACCGCAGCTACACCAAGTCCTTTATAATTTGAGTGCCTACAGTTTTACAGTTTCTCCGGGTCTAACCGTCAATCTAGCCGCACAACTGTGCGGGAACCTCACATTTCAATACGCAGTCATGATATAAGCATAATAAATGTCAAGGACGAACACTAAAGGACTTAATAGGCTACGAATTTAACAGCACAAACATCTCAGATTAGGATTTATGTCTTGCTTTCATTAAAAAGTTCTGCGAAGTACTGATGACGCCTACTGCTTTCAAACGACTGTGTTTACATGGAGAAGATAGCAAGAAATACAAATTAATAATTATACATAATATAGTGTGTAGCCGGGATAGCGACTAGCTAGGGACTAGACGACCGAGGGGTCGGAGTTCGACTCCCGGTAGGGTGAAGAATTTTCTCTTCGCCGCAGCGTCCAGACCGGCTCTGGGGCCCAACCAGCCTCCTACCCAATGGGTGCAGGGGACCCGAGGCAGGTGCGCGAAGCTGACCACTCACCTCCAACTAGTGCCGAGGTCAAGAAAACGTGGATCTATACATCCACTCCATCATACGTCTTCATGGCGTAGTGTTATTTAATTAGGCACCGGGATTACTTCACCTTTACAGTGATTCACTTTTGCGTATAATTTTACTATATTAAATCCGTGTAGGATTTGAGGTTCTCACAGCAGTGGTTATGAGGAGTTTTGCCTCTGCTTGCCACCTGCTACACGCTGGTTTCTTGCTTGGCTTATTCTTCGACCCTGAAGGTGGTGGAGACATGTTCCTCCGAAACGTCGGTTGAAT